TTACTTATATATTTTATTAGAGAAAGAGAAACATAATTATTTTAGGAAAGGAAAATTAATTATTCATTCTCAAAGCACTCGAGATAGTGCTGTAGAAATTTTGCTGTGCAAAGCCATAATTTTTTCTAAACATTGATTATTGCTGTGAGTTTCAAAAGTTAAACCAAAGCTTGATTGGTTCAATTTTAATGCTATAGAGAGAAATAAGGCTTTGCACAGCACTCACAGCTTTTCCCAATCACCCCTTTTGTAAAAGTTATTTTAATAATTAGGCAACTTTTCAAATTGTGTTAGTAATTATCTCTTAAATTTATAACAGTCTTGTATATAGCACGTAATTATGATACTAAGTGGATGGTTAATTATTGGGATTTTTTGAAACATACACTGTTTAGGTTTAAGAATTTAAAAAATACACTTTATTTTTTTTTTTTTAAATACCTTTTTTAGTAATTGAAAAATCTGTTTTATCCACATTTGATATTAAAACTAATTAATTCGTAAGAAAAATTATTATTAATATTAATTTTCTTTTTATTTGAAATAAAATTATATTATTAATTAAAAATTCGTTTTTCACATTAAAATTTCATGAGTCTTTATATATTCATCATCCATTCTCCAAAAACGCCAACAATATGCACCATTTTTTTTTTTTGGAAACAAAATAAGAATCATTAAGAATAAAAACCAAGACAACACAACAAATCGAAAATAGAAAGAACAAATTTAATAGTTTCCAGCAATACAAATATACAATTAACAGGAACATGGCGATTACCGTGATATGCGGTGACCGAGAAATACGATGGTATGACGAAGGTGGTGACGGAGTGATACGAGGATAAGAAGAGAGTTAAGACGGTGGTGACGGAATGATACGCGGGCGGTGACGTAGAGATACGACGGCACAGAGATACGATATTATGACAATTTTCATGAGATATTTGACCATTTTATGAAATATCTTTATGGATCTCTCTTTATTATATGTAAAAAATTTTAATTCTACGTTTCAAAAAATATTATTTTCATAAAATATTATTTTCATAAATATTATTAATTTATCACAACATATTAATTCTATTTTAAATATATAATTTATCATTTGTTGTGCAGAAATTTTAAGGCTATTTTCTTAATTTCATATTTAATAAAGTATATTTTTC